GAGAAACTCCGCCGGATCTCCGGCGATTCTCTTTCTCTCTACTTAGGAAATCAACCTCCTCTTTTTCACTCTCTCATCGTCTCGGACAAGGTGGGTTTGGTTCCGTCTACCGTGCTACACTCCCGAACTCCGGCGAGAATGTTGCCGTGAAAGTTATGGAAACTTCTGGAACTATCCAAGGTGAACGTGAGTTTCACAACGAGATTTCTCTCGCGAATCGTGTAATCTCCACCGTTGGATCGCCGTTTCTGGTTCAAGTTCTGGGTTACTCTTGCGGCGGCGGAAGACGGCGAGTTCTCACCGGAGAAAGTGGTGTTAATGGTGGCGGAGGAGAGAGGAAGCTTCTGGTGTATGAATTAATGGTGAATGGAAGCTTGCAGGAGAAGCTTCTAGATTGCAAGTGTGTAGAACTTTCGATTTGGGAGAAACGGTATAAGGTAATACTTGATGTTGCTAGAGCTTTGTATTATTTGCATTATAATTGTGGACCAACTGCTGTTGTTCATGGTGATGTTAAACCTAGTAATGTGTTGTTGGATGAAGATTTCACTGCGAAATTGGGGGATTTTGGGTTAGCTACTATTTTAGATGGGGTTGAGAAAGAGAGAGAGGATGATTCTAGGGTTTTGGTTGAGATTGATGATGATGATTGTGAGGGTAATGATGATGATGATGAGGAGGAGGGTAATAAGGTGGGGAAATTAGAGGAGGAAATTGGGTCAATTGTTGAGACGGAGAGTGTGGTGACAACGGTGGAGGTGGAGTTGTCGCCGACTACGGTGGGGAGTAATGTGATGGCGTCGCCGTCGGACGGGTTCGAAAGAGCGAGTAGTTTGCCGGAGAGTTTGGTGGATAAGATGAGTGTTGAGAGTGGGAAGAAGAAGAATTGTGGTGGGGGGTCAGGGAGGGATTATTGGTGGTGGAAACAGGATGGTGGTGGCGGGGGAGGTAATGGCGGTGTTGGTGGATCGGAGTCGGGGCGAGTTAAGGATTATGTGATGGAGTGGATTGGGAGTGAGATTAAGAAGGAAAGGCCTAAGAGTTCTGATTTGATTGGAGGAGGGATAGGGATTGTTGCTGGTTTAGGTTGTAATGGTAGTGGTGATGTGAATGTTGTTGGGGAGAAAGTTGAGGGGAAGAAGTTGAAGAAGAAGAGGTTGGATTGGTGGCGGGTTTCGATGGATGAGGATAAGTTTAGGAGGAAGAGGGAGAAGAGTAGGAGGCCAAGGGAGTGGTGGAAGGAGGAGTTCTGTGAGGAATTGACTAAGAAGAGTAAATGTAATAGTAAGAAGAAGACGGGGGTTAAATCGAGTAGTGGAGGTGAATTGTGGTGGCAAAGGGATGAGGATTTTGTTGCTCCTGAGAGGAAGAAAAGGAGGAAGAGTAGAGGTAGCTTAGGGAGTATTGATTGGTGGTTAGATGGATTGAGTGGCGAGCTTCGTGGTGGCCGGAAACATAGTCAAGATTGGGCTAGTGGGGAGATACCGAAAAGTGGTGGGATTAGTAGCACGCCTAGTATGAGAGGGACAGTATGTTATATTGCTCCTGAGTATGGTGGAGGTGGACAGTTATCAGAAAAGTGTGATGTGTATAGCTTTGGTGTTTTGGTATTGGTCATTATTTCTGGCCGCCGGCCATTGCAAGTATTGGCTTCTCCGATGTCAGAATTCGAAAGGGCGAATTTGGTTTCATGGGCTAGGCAGTTGGCTTACAATGGCAAGCTACTAGACCTTGTAGACTCTTCAATACAGTCATTGGATAAAGACCAAACAATGCTATGTATCACAATTGCACTCCTCTGTTTACAGAGATCACCCTGTAAACGGCCTAACATGAAAGAGATAGTAGAAATGTTAACCGGGGAGGCCGAGCCACCCCATTTACCGTTTGAATTTTCTCCATCACCGCCTTCAAATTTTCCCTTCAAGTCAAGGAAGAAGGCTCGGTGAGTTTTGCTTAAATTGTAGCTCGATTTCTTTTTAATCTAATGTCGAGTTTCATTTAATTGACAATAGAATGAATTGTTGTTGTGTATGACATTTTTTCAATGTAGTCATCTTCTGTAGATAATAACACAAGGAAATCGAAAAAAGTCGAAAATCCTCCTTAATTTCAACCCATAACTTTTACTTTGCTTATTAGCACTGTTTCTATTGCACTTCTAAAGTAGTAATCTCATTGTAATTTGACTTTTATCTAGAAAGCCATGATTAGGGGTTTATTTGTGTTAGGAATCCCATGCATTTTTGTGAGTGTAAACTGTAAAGTAACTGCCTTTCACTTTCCAAGTGGTTAAGACATAATCATCAAGCACATATCTTTTAGTGCAGGAGGAGTTGTAATTGAGTAACTTGCTTTTTATATATAACCAAAACCAATTGGGCCCTGCTGTTTTTTCGATTTTTTTCTTTCTGTCTGATAGCCTTTGTGCTACAATATCAATCATGTTAGTTACATGGTTCAATTTGGGCCCACATTTGCTAATTTAGATAACCATAAACGTCTTATTCGCGTTCATTAGCGTAAACTTAAAGTCTTGAACTGTACTTTCTGGTCAAAATATGAAACTTGGGATTAACTACAGAATATTTAACAGGACAGACATAGTTATTAAAGAATAATTTGTTTTCAGCATTACTTATTTGGCTACTGCTGGTGAATCTTATTGCTGCTAATTTTTGTATAGCGAACTTTATTTATCTTTAACGCAAGAAAACTTGATGAATTCAGATCACTGTTTTTATCTTTTTTTTACCCTTGAAATTTTGAGTCTTTGTTGATACAGTGCTAGAATGACAATAAAGTCATCATCCGTGACATTTGTTGCTTGATGTTGATTGCCTTTATGAGTTTCTGCCCCCCCCCCTCCTTTTTCCTTCTGCTTGCCCTGCTAACTGATTCTGACACTGTAGTAATCAAAGTAAATACTTTCTCTGTTCATTCAGTGCAAGATTTGAAACATCATTGAATCTAGTATAACATGTATTTGGCAGCTTAATCTAAAAAAAAGGAATTAGTGCCCGTTAACTAGTGCTTAATGTTGCTAAGTAATTGAGTTCATTAAAACTAAGGTTGTCGCTTTTGTTAGATGAACAACCTTTGTGTGTGTCCTTTGAGCCCTTGTATGTGAAAGAAGTTTTGTGATAGAACAGATCCTTGCAGACGAGTAGATTTTAATCCTGGAGCATTGTTTTCCTGCTTCCTCTAATTACAGCAGGATAGGTTTTGGAACTTTTCTAGGTAATAGATGTGAAGCTATTAAATTTATTTTCAATGTCTTGGTTGTTGAAGCATCTTTAAAAAAAAGGGGGGAAATTAGCTCTTCTGGGTTTGCTCACATGGGAAGTGCACAAAATAAGGCTCGAGGCATGGAAATGCTGAACATTGTGATATGCGGGTTTCTGCTCAAGTTCATGTCTCTGGTTTATATTTTATGCAGTAAACTTCTTCACTCCATTTCATTTCAATGTAGCAATAGCAGTAGTAAATTTGCAAGGAAACAAGGAACATCCAGTGCAGGATTAAATTTGGTGGAAGTGTTGAGTGTACTCCCTTCTCTCCCACCTCAAGGCCCCAACTAACCCTCACTTTCAACTGGTGAATGTTTGTTGGATCTGAATGACCACCAAGTGAGGCACATTCCATATGTTATGTTGCTTTATTCGTCGTCTTTTGGTATGGTCAGGCTATCCAATGCCGAACCAATGTTTGTGCTTGGTGGGTCTAAATATTGCACATGGGAGTTTTTGCATCTGCAGTGGCCTTGTCGGAAATTAGTCAGATCACCGCGGCCAGTCCTTGGTAATTTCATCATGCCTGTTAGAGGTCCAGAGTTGAGAAAGTGGACTAGCAGTATATCTTTAATCAATAGGTATAATTTTTAAACTTGTTAATTATAATTCCATACTACCTACCAATTTTTGTTTTTTTTTGTGTTTAATGTTTTGGCCCCCTTCAATACAAATTTCTAACTTCGTCGATGTACTGTAGTGCTACTTAATAATGTTTGATTCTTTGATTAGTACCATGGGAACATGAACTTTCCACTGTATAACTCCATGAAGGCGTGAGCAAAGTACAAGGTACCCGGAATTGAAAATCGAACTGAATTGAAATTTTTGGTTTTGAAACCCAAACCTGAAACACCAGTTCCATTTTACAAGTTCCGTATTCGGTTTTTGGAATTTTGCCAACGTAGAATGAATATTTTTTTGGAGTGCAATTTACTCCATAACATCCGTAGGACAATGTTTTTAGTTCACTATGGAGTATAATTTGTCAGAGAGATTTGGTTAGATACTTAACTGGCAAGTTGGAAGGTGAACTGTCCAATGCGTAGTGGCAGTGGCAGTGCTATAACTCCTACTCCTATATGATAACAGCAACCAATTTAATGCAAAGTGAAGGATCAAACCCAGAAATGACGGGTAGTCATCAGATTGGAGGTTGTTGAGCTTTGATTGCAGAATAGGACAGCCAACGGCCCCCTTGCATACAATCAACTGATTCATAATGCGTGAGTATCATCTTTAGTTACCGAGCCATCAAATTACTAGAACGAGAGGAGGAATCGAATTAGGAGAAATGGTATATTATGTTTGTCAAGCACACCAACGGTTTTTCACTAACTAAACCGTACAATGACCAATGATGATCCATCTCGCGTTATAACATGTCAATTGTTGTCAATTAAAGCCGTCCATTTGTGTTGATAGATATTGTTCTTGATCAAAGCCTTCTTCCTAAACTGTGTTGACGGCTAGTTAATAATGAGGTTTAGCTACATTGTACTCTCAAGAGTCTATTATACGGAGTACTTAAATTACCACCATGCTACTATAGCTATATTCAACTAATCAATCGTTGGGAGTCAACTAGCTTTGCTAATAAAGTATTAAATATAGAAGTTTCGGGATGAAATTAATCTATATACATCATAGTCCTATAAGACTGATCTATACACACATAGCACAATCAGTCACGAACGGTACAATATAGTAAATACCTGGTAGATCGATTAATTGAATGCACATTAAGTTGGTTATACCTGCCTTTGTCACAATGCTCAAAATGTGGCACAACTCCTCCCAACCTACCTCTCATTCAATGCCTCAAAACTCTGCTTTTAAAACCAACCTTATACACTTTCACATTCATACATTTCAGACTTCAGAAATCCTTAATATTTTATTTTATATCCTTTTCAAATAATCCAAAAATGGATCCATACAAATTCCTGAAAATATCCCCAAACCCAGATGGCACAATTACCAGACTTACCCCTACAATCTTAGTACCAACCACTGAACAACTAAAACAAGAAGAAAAACAGGACAGTAACCCTGAAACTAATCAAAATTTTACAGTAATTTCTAAGGATGTTCCCCTTAATCAAACCAAGAACACCTTCCTTCGCATTTTCAGACCTGCAGAAATCGACTCATCGAACAAGCTGCCGGTTATAATATACTATCATGGGGGTGGTTTTGTGTTTTACTCTGCTGGAACTGTGTTCTTTCATGAGTCCTGCAACCGTATGTCAGCTGCTATACCTGCTGTATTCGTGTCTGTTGAATATCGATTGGCACCGGAGCATCGGCTTCCTGCTGCTTATGATGATGCTGTTGAGGCTATCTTGTGGGTCCGAGATCAAGCTGTGAGCTGTAGTAGTGGTGGAGAAGGAAGTGATCCTTGGTTGAAGGAGTGTGCTGATTTTGGGCGTTGTTTTCTCATGGGCAGTAGTTCTGGTGGCAATATTACTTACCATGCAGGTTTGTTTTATAATCTCACTGTGCTATCAAGTAACATTATTTTAATGTGTGGCTGTGCGCGCGCGCGCGTGGGTGGATAAAGTAAAATAGATCCACAAATAAATATTCAATCTAAGGTATAATCTAGATCTGTCAATTCGGGTTAATGGGTCGGGTTCAAGTCAAATTTCAAGTTGTTTGGGTCATTAGATTCGAGTGATTTAGATTGCTTGGATCATTACAAATTATGATAAATGGGCCAACTTAAGTCAATTTTGAACCGTTTGGGTTTGGTTGGGTCGGGTTTAGAATCGGGTTGGGTTGGGTTATTGGGTCGATTTAGAAATTGACAAGTTTAATCATCATGAAAAAATATACTACATAGATCAATTAATTTTGATAAGTAATCAATTGGTGGCTCATAGTTTCATATTGTACAAAAATTGTTCACACATGTCACTTTTAGTGATTAATGGTCATATTTGATTAAATTGATCAATTTTAAGGAATAATCACAAATATCCTTCTATGTATAAATTTACATCTTTAGTTATCCACCCAAGGTAGTCACATTTCTATTGTCAAGAGTATACATCAGGATAAGATAACACATGAAAAAAAATTCAATTTATAACATCTTAACATGACTTGTTATTTTAGGATGCACAAAAGTCGTACATAGCTTACAATCAGACGTACATGTTAATTAACTTAGTTGCTTATTCATAACCTATGATAAATCGATGTATATGCAGCTTTGCGAACATTTGATCATGATCTATCACCAATGAAGATAGAAGGGTTAATAATAAACCAAGCATATTTTGGAGGAGAAGAAAGAACAGATTCAGAATTAAGACTACTCGATGACAAAATCGTTCCTTTACCAGCTAATCATGTTATGTGGTCACTTGCCCTGCCCGTTGGTGCTGACCGTGATCATGAATTCTGCAATCCAATGGTTGAGAACGCTTACACTGATAAGATCGGACGGCTACCAAGGGTCCTGGTCAACGGGTACGGAGGGGACCCACTTGTGGACAGGCAGAAGGAATTTGCTAAGATGTTAGAGTCACGTGGAGTGCACGTGGTGGCTGACTTTGATGAAGAAGGTTACCATGCTGTGGAGTTGTTTGTACCTGAAAAGGCTCAAGCTTTGCTTGATAAAGTTAAGAGTTTTGTTGGGTCTAATGTTTCTCTTAGATCTATTATGTAGGGTTCCAAATTTGTGTGATTAAATGCTTTATGGATATAAATTATGTATGAACACTTATCAATATGGGTTACATGACTTCTATATCAGTCTCTGTTATTATTTACAAATACTCGTATTATACTTTACCAATAAAGTATACAAATTAAACCACACAAATCAATGTAGTAATCGAGAGCATTATGTGCATTGCTCTATTGCAATATTGAGATGTGAGTCTCTACTCTCTAGGTGTGGCTCTCCTAAGTCATAAAGCCTATACTTCTATATAAGTGACTTTTGAACGAATTTTACTGAATGAGTGATTTGATATTTTGATCTACTAACTAATGTGAAGTGTTATGTATGTTACCCCCGTACATAACTTAATTACATACGAAGTACTTATATATCACTATATTAAAAGCATACACAATTGTAAACAGTGCCGGGGCTAAAATTGCAAATTATTTATGGGGCCATGTTCAACTTTTTAAAATGGGGCCTTCTACTCGATCCGATGTTGAATCCGAAGAGGTTTGTGATGAAATTTTTTCAACATAAATGCCTTCTAAAATTGCAAGTTAATAAAAATCAGAAAAATGCACTTAAATTAAACAACAGGAAATAATTCAACATACCCAGATATTAAAATTTAACAAAAAATCGTATCCGGTGTTGAATTCGAAGAGGTTTGTGATGAAATTTTTTCCAATTACTAGCTATAGCCTTTACTCACGATACTTGCAAAGAACTTTGGAATTAAGATTATCTTAAAGATTTCTTTTTTTTTTGTAAAATTGAAAGAGTAAATAAAATGCATATATAGGAAAATTTGGGAGATTAATAGAGTTTTAGAAGATATAGAGTTTTTTTGGAATTAGAATAGTAGATTGAAAAAAAATTGGGAAAAAAGAAATCTGAATTTTTGGGAAAAGAATTTGGAAATTAGATGGGTTTGCTGCAGTTCCCAAAAAAAATTAAAAAATTGTATCATGCATGGCTCGAACCCAAGATCTTGTACATACAGCACAATTGCTCTAACCACTACACCAACTGCAATTTCATGATTTTGTACCAAACTTAATTAAATATATCTAGATTTTGGGGGCCCTTAAATTTGGGGGCCCTGTTCCGTCGACCACCTAGCTCCGGCCCAGAACCGCCTATGATTGTAAACAAGACTCCATATTATTAGAAAACTTCTAGAAATTAGAAGAATCCTATCCTATAAAATGGGCAGCATAAATTTAGACTAATATTCATTTATTAGTCATGCTATTTTGTGGCTTCCTATCATTTAATCCGTGAAGCAAGCCCAACCTTCTAACAAATTAATCATGCAACTATAGAAGGAGAATGGAATAGAAAAACATGATCATAGAATATTAATTAACATATTAATCATTTGATACTATTAAGTTATTGTGTCATTAATCATGTCAAAATTCAACCCATATGAACACCTTAAGATCTCTCAAAATGATGATGGCACGCTAAGCCGGTTTAATAAAATCCCTCAAATGGAAGCAAATCCAAACCCTGGTGTAGGAGAGGTAGTGGCATCCAAGGATGTAACAATAAACAAAGAAAACAATGTATGGGCTAGAATATTTTGTCCCACTAAATTACCAGCAAATGATGGATGTGTTGCTAGACTTCCCATTGTGACCTATTTTCATCATGGGGGATGGATTGATTATAAGGTGGGTGATATTTTCAGTCATGAAAGATGTGGGCAGATTGCCCGGGATCTTCCCTGCATAATAATATCCTTATCATATCGGTTAGCACCAGAGCATAGACTACCAGCACCATATGAAGACGCGATGGATTTACTCTTTTGGGTACGACAATAATTGATGGATCCCAATGGAGAAAAATGGCTAAAGGAGTTTGGAGACTTCTCAAGATTTTATGTAGCTGGGAGGGGGAATGGCGCGAATATAGCATATAACACACGCGTCATGGCCATGGATGTTGATCTTAGTCCTTTATCAATCTCTGGAATAGTCCTGAACCAACCTATGTTTAGTGGAAATCGAAGGACAAAATCGGAGTTGAAGTATGCATGTGATGAGTTATGTCCATTGCCAGTTTGGGATTTGTTTTGGGAATTAGCATTGCCTAAGGGGGCAAATAAAGATCACAAGTATTGTAATCCTATGAAGGATCCTACCATAATTAATAAGATAAGCAAATTAGGAAGGTGTTTGGTTATTGGATTTAGTATGGATCCAATGATTGATAGGCAACAAGAATTTGTGACCATGTTGATCAATGGTGGTGCAAAAGTTGAGGCTCATTTTGATGTTGGATTTCATGGAATTGATTTAATTGATACAAAGCGAGCTTCTTACATTGTGTATTTGCTTAAGAATTTTGTCTCATAATTGAATTAGTTGTTTTTCTTGGTTAAATAGAGCTAAGAGACCAGGGTTTTAAAATGTATATTGTTTATTTCGTATAGGCACCGAACCAAAGCTCGATTCTTGCCTGGTCGCCTGGAGTCTCATGTTAGTGTTTATATCACTCAATAACACTCATAGTTAACGAGTATTTTCTAAGCTGTAATAATATCCTTCATGATTCATGAGACATTGTTGTGGCTCCTTTACTTCATACTGTGTTTTGTATAAAGTGAATATTCATTAAATAGTCAGCAGCATAAGAAAATCCTGTTGCACTAGCAACACTGCATTTTAATCAGCCACAATCAAGATCAATGCTGAAGAGAAGGCTCTTTTTCAAGTTTTGGTAGATGAACCCGTATGTTTAGGAACCAAAAGGCGTTCCGAAAATATACCCAGTATCATTTTGAAATACAGACACATACTTTAAAATGCAAATAATGGCACCCATAAGAACATAGGCTACTGCATTGCATAGCAACATCAAAAAAAACTTCATGTTTTTCCTACTGAGTATGTTCCTATCAAAAATGTCAGAGATCATCTACTTGAACAAATATGGAACAAAATACAAACTATATGATTCCAATCTTGTTTGCAACGTCCAGAGCATCGTAGTCAGGTGTCAAACGAACATATGCCTTCTTGGTGCCATCAGGCCTGCAAATAGGAAACTTTTAGTAAACCCTAATCAAAAGTTAATTACAAGCTAAAAATCAGCAAGCAGGATTATAAAAACTGCAAGGATGGCATCATGGCACTACACTGTTCAATTTATGGCTGCCTTTGAGTTTCAAGTAATTAGTTTGCCATTTATAAAAAACCAGTGCCACGAGAAAACTAAATCTAACAGGGTAACAGTATGCAATTCTTTCAACCTCGTGATTAACGAGGAATATAAGTTCTTTCTGTAGAAAATATGTCTTAGTCTCACACAGTTAAGCTTATGAGTGAAGAGAGAATCGAAACATAACATTAAGGAAACACATAATGATATAAAGTGAAAGAGCAAAAATTTGATTGGCAGAAAATATTCACCTGATCAAGGTATTCACTTTCTTGGCCTGAATATCATACATCTTCTTGACAGCAGCCTTAATTTTCTTCTTGTCAGAACGGATGTCAACAATAAAAACCAAGGTGTTGTTGTCCTCAATCTTCTTCATTGCAGACTCAGTGGTCAAGGGATATTTAAGTATCTGGTAATGATCCAACTTATTTCTTGGTGTTGCACTAATACGAGGGTACTTAGGGTTTCTATCCTTCTTCAATGTCTTTGGCCTATGGAAAGTAACCTTGGTCCTGATCTTCTTGGCCTTCTTCTTCAAGGTACTTGAGCCAGATTTCACAGCTTTAGCAGCTTTCAAGGCCTGTGCCTTGGGATCAGCCTTCTTTACATCTGACAGATAACTGATGTCAGGAATCCTTCTAGGATTTTAGAGACGTTATACAGTTCTACCAGCTAAACAGTTTTGTAACAGATCCATAAGTGCAACTCACCGGAACTGAAGAATAAATTACTAAACAAAATTGAAAACTGGAAACAGAGATTGCATGAATATCTAATAAATTAGCAGGATTAAGCAATGCACTGTACAATCAAGGAAGAATTTTTCCCATCACTTAACTGATTAAATATCGGTACTCAAATTATAATGTCAGCCTAAAAAAAACAACCAAGAATTAGCTCCAATAACAAGGCATACGTCAGATTGACACAATCACTGAATGCTCTTACAGAGCCAAGAGCGATACATAGTTAACCAACTCTCAATTAAGCAAAAGGGACTAATCCCTAGGAATCGAAATTAGTACGGCAATCAAATACTTAGTATGGTAGAACAGAAAATTTTCTATACCAAAATCACTCACTCAAATTGAAATAATGTAATGTACAACAACCATGTGACCAACCTAGCACATTATTAAGCAACAGTAAAAAAGCATTAAACCCAAGATTAGCATAACAAAGTTAGCATTTAAAACAATTTTATCCCTCTATCACACTCAATCTTTCAATCCCAAAGGTAGAGAGAACCTTAATGTCAACCTTCATTCTCATTTCTCAACGTTAAATTCGCTACTTCGCCATATCACATTGCCAAAAATATGAGCGACAAATGATTAAGTGAAAGAAAAATCACAAAAAAATCTACAGAAAACTAGAATCAAATGAATTCACAAAAGGCCACGAATTTTCTAATCCAAAGTTTAGTTGATCAAAGAAACAGCATGCATTCTAATAATCACTAAAAACACTTAGAGGGTGTTTGGTTCACATAATTAAGGTATAAGGTATGGGTTTAGAATGGTTTAAACCCATACCTTATGTTTTATGACTTTATGAGTTTCAAACCCCCAAGTTATGGGGTTTAGAAACCTTGGGGGGAGGTGGGTTTGGCTTATTCTCATACATTTAGGCTTAAATAAAAGAAAAACATTGCATTTTATAATTATACCAAACATATGGATTAAGAATTAAGTTCCAAACCCATACCACTATGGTTTCATTCCTAATTCCAACCCCATACCAGTTTACGAACCAAACGCCCCCTAACATTAGCACATTGTTATATCAACAACATTAAGCTTTTAAAAGCAGAATTACAATTTACAATAACAATAACAAGATGAAAATTTTAATTATTATAACCAAATTCAACCTGAATTCAAACTAGATTCATTTTGTTAAATATCAATTAATCAACGATTAACAAAATATAATCCAAAAATTCATGTATTCCTACACAATTAACAATTAAGGCTAAAAAAAAGAAAATGGAAAACTAGAAATTGATTAGAAATGGAACAATAATACCTTTCGCAGGGGGCGCCATTCTGCTGAAATTGAAACCCTAAATGAAGCAAAATAATGCAAGTATTTAGTAAAATGTGAATCTGAAATATAGCAGATTAAAGGAGAGAGAAAGTGAGGGAGAACCTGAGGAGAAAGATGAATCAAGGCAAGTAGGGTTTATGAATGAAAGCTGGGTTCTTAATTTTGAGTCTTACGGGCTCATCTCGTTTGCATACTGTTTCTTTTTATTGGGCGGGTTACTCGATTGTCGCCTAGGTGACATAGACACAAGAGCTACCCAAACTCCCAAAGGCCTTTGTCGGAAATAGAGTGAAAAGAAAACAAATACGATTAAGAAAGGGAACGAAATCTTTTAGGGGGCGTTTGGTTCGCAAAGTGGTATGAGTTTGGAATCAGGAATGGAGTTAAAGTGGTATGGGGTTGGAACTTGATACTTAATACCATGTGTTTGGTTCAATTCTGGAATGAGATCTCATCCCCTTACATGTTGTTTGGTTAGAAATTTATTGGAATGAGGAATCAACTCTATTTTTTCAAAAATCTTTATTTTAATTAACAAGCAAAACCAATTCTCTAAGAACAATAACTACAACGCAATAGTTAAATTTTAAACAGACACATTCAAAATTATCACAATACTTGAGATAATTATTTAATATCAAAACTAACACTCAAAAACCCTGTTTAAAATTCCAAGTGAACATATTTATTCAAAGAAAACAAATTCATAAACCATCACATTTGGCAAATTGTCATGAAAATAGGCAGATTATTTCAAGCATTACGACTCAAAAGGTCAAGCACCACCTCCTTTTTCCATTCATCATTAGGACTTGAATAGAAAATCTCCATTTGGCTAGGATTTGATGAAAACAAACTAGCAGCTCTTATAACTTCAGCTTGGGTAATTCCAGGCAAACCTCCAATCTCAGATAATAGCCTTCTCTTTTGTTCAACAATCTATTGTTCACGCTCTTGTGTTGTACTCATGGCAGACGCAATAGTAGCAAGATGATTATTCATATCTTTCATATAACCAGGGAATCCAACTGTCATATTGTCAATAGATGATAAATTTTCAAATCGAGTAGCTCTTTTTTTCTCATTAGTCTTTGGAGTCTTTTCCTTTTTCATTCTCTTAGCAGGAGGAGGTTGGGGTTGAGTATAATCTGTAGCTAAACCAGGTGAAAGAGTATCATATAACTCTTCATTGTCACTATCATTATCAAGGTGAACAACGTCCTTTTCAAGGTTATGGATAGAGTCCTCAGGCAGCTCAGCCGCAAGCCCATTAGCTCTATCAACACCAAATATATCATCTAGCTTGCTAAGACAAGGAAAAGGAGTCTTCCATAATCCTCCAACTTTAGGATGAGTCTAAAAACATTAGTTATATGTTATATTAGATTAAGTAAAATGCAAGATTTTAAAAAATAAATAAAGAAATTAGTTACCTTGCAAAAATCGTCATAAGATTGTCTCTCACATTGTATTGTACTAGTTTCCTCATCCCACTGAAACCCGGATGTCTTGTTAACCATTTCAGCAACTATTGCATACTTATCTTTGAACTATTTGAACTTTGATTCAATATGAGGAATGGCTTTTAAACCACATCCAGGGAACTTAGTGTTCAGCATAAGCTCCAACTGATTCAAGTATCCATTCCTAAACCCTCCTCCTCCTTTCCATTGTTGGTCACAACTTAACTCCAACAAACAATCAATCAAAGCCTCTTCCTCCTCTTTCTTCCAGAAGCCCTTATTCTTACCTCTTCCACTTTGAGAACTTTGACCATTTGTAGCCATCCTAATTAATCAATTACGTAAGAATACATAACCAGATATTTTATTTATGATATGTAGGAAGCAATATTGTATCACATAATGAAAGCAATTAAAAGTTAAATAAAAATATCATGTCCCTTGATTAACATAAAACACATATGAGGAACAAAAAATCATAAAATACAAAGATCGTTTCACAAAACACCAAACACAAGGACAAGACTAAAGAGAGTCATTCATTAAAAAAAATCATGTTTCGTTATTTTGCCTAGCTCTCCAAGCATTAAATAAAGTTTGCGCTAAATTATTCCTAAAGTCGATCCAAGTATTTGATGGTTGAACTTGAGTAATGTATTCAACATTATCACCAATATCCTCATTCTCACTCTCATCCGATGACTCATCAACCTCAAAATTATTTGTGGGCATGTGCTTTCGAATTAGATTGTGTAATAAAGCACATGATGTAACAATGCGACCTTGTGTTACAAATTATTTGGTTTGTTGAAGGGAAGGTGGGCAATGCTGTAAAGAAGGGCTTCTAAGAATTGCCCACCTTCCCTTCAACAACCAAAAGTTCTCTCAATTACATTCCTAGCTTTAGAATGTTTCATGTTGAAGTACTCCTCAGCACTTACAGGTACTTGATCCCCCCATTCTTTCAAGTGATAACGATGCCCTTTATATGGTGCAAGAAACCCATCACAATTAGTGTAGCCAGCATCTACCAAAAAGTAACAACCTTGAAAATCATAGATAGATTGAAGTCATTATTAGTTGTAGTAATCAAAATTGTTATATATCATATGGTTATTTTTAATCACATGGTTTACCTTGAGGCACCTTTAAACCGTTAGGCCTCGAAATTGCATCTCGTAAAACACGACCATCATGTGCAGAGCCTTCCCATCCAGGTAAGACAAAAACAAATTCCATGTTAGGTGTACAAACACCTAAAACATTCATTGCAAGGTTTCCTTTCCTTGTTCGATACCTTCCTCTATCCTCATTTGGAACATGAACTTTAATAAATGTACCATCTAGAGCTCCTAAGCAATTCTACAATTATAAGGAAAATACACTAGATTATTTACATAGGATGTATATAGAACATTGCTTTTAATCAATTAAAGAATGAGCTTTTTTTTTATAATATTTTAATAATGTTAAATATACCTGGAAGCATTTCCATCTACTATCCTCGCAATCTTCTGTAATAGGTGTAGGTTTTTTGAGCAAGTGATGATGTAGCTTTAGAACCGCAAGGAGACAAAGGTTAAATTGTCTACTAACACTTTCTCCACTCCTATAAAAGTAATTTCCTATCGACCTATTCTTTTTATGATGAGATAATGTATACAAAAACATAGCTACAATCTCCTGTAAGCTCATATTTCTAGTCCCTCTCAATCCACCAATATCACTTATCATCTCACAAAGTACACCAAAAGTATGTCTGTTCATACGCAATTCACTCCTACAGGCAACATCACTATCTCTAGTCAACGAGTTTAAATTAACTAATCTATTACGTTTCTTATCTCTAATTCGGTGTATTTTATGTAGAGTTACACCTAAACTACGTAGCACGAAATACATGAGAATCATGAAATTTATTATAACTATTAAAGATACAAGTAGTTCTGTTTGTCGCTTTCTCTTCCCCCTTAACAAGGATAGTCCACATGACTCCATTTCTGTAAAAACACAACACAAAAAGGATTACCCTATAAATTGATTATTAGTATTTACTCATATGTTTTCCTAATATTCTTATTTCATTGTCTAAGTGCCTTTTTGCCTAATATATATACAACCTTTGGTGGGAGCAAAAAGAAAAATACAAGAGCAAAAGCCAAAGAAAGGCATGCAATCGGCAATCCACACAAAGAATTTAAAAAAGTCAACAGGTAGTATGTATATATGCTAATGAAATCAAAGATAGCTCACAATAGTGGACCCGTAATAATGAACACTCCATTTCATACCTCAAAACTATTTCACAATTATATGTCGGTAATTTTTTTTCGAGTTAATAAAAAATCTGTTAAATATATATATACAATTATTATGATAAAATTCAATAAATTTCATACAAAAGATGACTACTTTGATAAAAATATATAGCTATGCAGAATAATTATACAACAAATTTGGAGAAAAAGTGAAAAAAAAAATTAGGGAAATATCATAAAATAAGAACAAGATTTACTGGGATGCCAAACATGGAATTTACATGTAGTCCAACCAAAGAGATATGATTATCCAAATTCAGCAGTACAACATTCAACCGTTCAGTCAAATCACAAGCATCTTCAAAAAAGTGTTCATCTATTGCCATATGTTATCATTAATTTATGTGTGAATACTTATGTATCTCTAATCAATCAACGAAAATTCGTGGGAGGGTAATCAACATGATAAAATCTGTACCATCCGTATTAAGAAACAAATTATGCATCACTGTGTCACTGATAATACCTTAAGAACAAGATTTTAATTAAATTTAAAAAAAAAAAAAAAGAATTACCTGGATGAAGGCTGAACTATTGCTGCTCAACAGCTCAAGGGTGAAGGATGAATATGGCGGCAGAAGAGAAGATGGACTTTGGCGGTAATTTTCCTGTTTCCCTCATTCTTCCCTCCTTATATTTGATACCTAGGGGAATGGAATGGGCCAAACCCACCTCCCCCCAAGGTTTCTAAACCCCATACCTCATGGGTTTGAGGTATGAGTTTGAAAATCATACTTTTGACAACCAAACATAAGGTATGAGTTTTAGTCCTTCTAAACCCATACCTCATACCTATATTCCGCGAACCAAACGCCCCCTTACTAGTATAGATAGTAGTATTTATTTCTTACCTTTTTGTATGTTTGGTTTAACATTAATCACAAATTCACTATTAAACTTTCTTCGTGACTGCTCAATAGCTCGAGAAATCTGGAAAAAAGTTGGTGGTATGGGCCGTATGGCTCTTCTCCCTACCTTCTTTTCTGATGATCTCAATGAATGGATAGTAAAGAACCTGGATGCGAATGATCCCATTAAGTCAGAAAAATGGCCGACTTGCTTTGCTACCACTTTACGGTGGATTTGGAGGTGGAGAAACTGTTGGGTTTTTGATAAAAAAGACGAAATTCCGAAAGAAGCAGGAGACTTTATCCTTCACCAAGTTGATGAAGTCTGGAATGTATTCACCAATCCAAAGCCACATCTGATGCAGCAGGGCCAAGGTCCTTAACAGAAAGCTGAAATTTTGGTGCGTTGGTTAGCTCCTCCTCATGGCTGGTGGACTTTGAACACAGGTGGTGCTGTGAAAGGGTTTACGGGGCTAGCTGGTGGGGGAGGAGTCATTAGAGATCCAGAGGGACGCTTTGTCAAGGGCTTTGCTGCTAATTTCGGTATTTGTCATTCGTATAGAGCTGAACTGTTAGCTCTCGAATATGGTCTCAAGCTAGCAAGACAGGTGGGCATCACAAACATTGTAGTGCAAATGGATAACAAAGCATGTGTAGAAGCAATTTCCAATGCCAACCAGCAGCAGGGAGAATGCGTGCACCTAGTTAATAATTGTCGTAATCTTTGTAATTTTTTTGATTCTTCGTTTGTTATTTTTCATTGTTATAGGGAGGGGAATAGAGTGGCGGATAATCTTGCCAATATGGGTGCTATTCTCCAAGAGAAGGTGGTTTATTTCGATGATCCTCCAATCGAAATAAAGAACCTTCTTTGGGAGGATATGGTGGGGGTGGCTTTGCCACGAATGGTGGTGTAATGTGTGTTCTTGTTCGGGCCTTGCCCTCGTTTGCATAAAAAAATAAATAAATATTAAACCTACCTAGCTCCTCCCTTTGAAGAGGGTTAAGTTAATTGTCACCACAAGTTTAAGTGATGTGATGAATAGGTATTTCGTAATGGACGTAAACCATTACCTCTAAGTTACACAAACCTTATAGTCAAATATTTAGTATCTGTAATGATATAATAAGTTTCCAGCCATATAAACGCTCTTACCAAACATTTTCTTAATGTACCCATTTTCAGTATGTATTCGACACACAATAATGTAGTTAATCTCGGTCGGCAATGTAATTCATTTTCACTTTCTTCTCTTTTTTTTTATTTTTTTTTATTTTAACACTATATACTATTATACTACACAGATTTAGATTATATAAGCTGGGCATTTAATTGCAATTTTGCGGGTTTCTATCGATCTATTTTGTTTGCAATTTTGCATTCATTGGGTTTTTTTTTGTCAGCTTATTGTGTTTGCATTATCTTATATCCATTTGTCGGTATAAAGAAAGAATGCAGATTATCAATTATTGTTTGACTTATTTATAAATTTTAGAATTGATTATGTCTCTAATGAAAAGATTATAAGACGTGTTATCATCCAAAAAATTATATATATAATATATTATTACTGAGTATTTAAATAAAGAATTGTGAGTTACCTTTCACTTTTCTCTCTTTGATTTGATACCAATCAAAATTGAATCAATATTCACTTGTGACATAAATATCCAAATTGATGTAGCACCATTAAAATTTGTCATATTTGTTCAAATTATTTCTAAAATTTAGCGTTGATTTTCACTAACACAATATTGGAACAAATATCTCATTTAGTTTTTACAAGCTAGTAGTCTCTATTTTATTTAATTTGCACAAGGTAGTACTAACTGCTTCATTCAATTTGCACGAGAAAGTACTTGCCGTTTCATTCATTTCACATAAAAATAAGGGTTACCATTTCTTTCAGAAAATTAGAAGCAAAACTCTATATCAAGCAAAATTGACTATTGAGTATTCTTTTTATTATCCGTAAACGTTTTAAAAGGAGATTAAGAGGATTTAAGGCTGTATTCAACACACCTTCATTTAAAAAGAAAAAGTTTTTTTTTTTTTTTTTTTAAATAAACTATGTTTAATTCACCTTATTTATATCTATATCTATATCTATACTTCTATACTTGGTATTTAAAAACTATAACCAAGAAACTAAGAAAGACACATGTTCCCATCCATTCTATTACACTTCTCTAACCATAGTGCCACATGTCATCTTACACTATTAATTTTTTATTACACCATTTTTTTTTAATTCATTCATTAAACTTATACTTCATCTTTCATACACAATTCATCTCTTCCCTTTAATTCAACCCTTTCCTATTCTCTCTTTAATTTTAGCCCCTCCACATTTTATTTAAGCCTCTTTTTCGATTTAAGTTCCAAAATTTTAATTTCTTTAATCATGTTTCCCATTACATATTATACCCTACAATGACGAACTAATTTTTCCTCACTTATCTCTCAATACAATTTTTCTGATTACATATTACACCCTATATTGACTTACTGATATTTCCTTACTTATCTCTCAATACAATTTTATATAAATAACCCGTGTATTGTACGGGCTGATGGGGCAGAAGGCTAGTTATTATTAATGAATCCGACCGTGTTTGGATAATTCACCTAATGAAGGGAAGAATATCCAAATACGGAGTATCGTAATAGGTGTCCAAATTTCCTTTTTAAAAAATCTCAAACATATAAAAAGCCTATAAAAATAAAGTAAAAAAGACCCCTCAATTCTCCCACAAACCCAAAATCTTGAAACTCATGATCCCATCATAATTACCCCCAAATCTCACCCTTAAACCCACCATGACCGACGGCGGCGGCGATTTCCTCCTCCGCCTCGTCCAAAACCGTCAACAACAATACCTTCAACAACAGCAACAACACATTCAACAACACCAACAACACCAGCAACAACCACCTTTTCTTCCTCACAATCTCTTCTCCCCTTCCCCTTCAACTCCTTCGCACACACTCTCTCTTGATCCCGCCGTTGCCGCCGTCGGACCTTCCGTCGGACCCCACCACAACCACAATCAGCACGATTACTCTCACTCTCGTTCTCCTTTCTCTCTCTCTCCTCAAACCCAAAACCCCAATTTCTATTATCAAGGGTTTCCGCGACCTAATTCTCTTAACTCCTCCATTTTCTCGGCTCCTCATCAGCATTTCGATCTTCTTCTTCGTCAGCAACACCAGCAGCAGACTGGGTTGGAACAATCTGGAACTGGGTACTTTGGAAATTACCCTAATTGTGGGAATTCTGTTGAGAATGAGAGTTTGAGATTGAAGAAATTGGAGTTGGAATTGAATTTGTTGAAGGAACGTGAACTGGGTTCGGGTTTAGGGGTTAGGAGGGTTAATGGGTTTGATCCGAATCGAAGGATTGATGGTAATGTTAATTGGAGTTATGGTTCGCCTGAGCAGAGACGGTCTGGGCCTCCGCCGGGGTTTTCGAGCACGCCTGCTAACCAAAGGCGGGATTTTGATGGTTTGAAGAATAATGTGAGTGGGGAGATTGGTAGTTCTTTTGGTGAATTGAAGAGGGGTAATAATCATAGAGATTTTGGTTCTAATAGTAGGAGTTATGAGAATGAAAGGCGGTTTTTGAGTAGAGATAGTGGAATTGGGGTTAGTGGACAGATTGATCATCCTGGTTTGCCTGCTGGGAGTAGTCTGAAGTCTGTATCGGTTTCGGATATCGAACAGTCTTTGCTAAATGATCATGGTGGTGTGGCTGATAATGGGGTTAGTCATGACGAAATTGATGATTTGAGTGAACAACTAGTTGATTCAGTTCTAGGAGAGGATCAGTCTGCTGAGAATAATGATACTAGTGCTAAGAAGAAACAACCCCGTGATAAGGTATAATCTAGGTGCTCCTGTCTCTTCTTATCAATTGCATTTTGAAGCAATTCAATTTGATTAAATTTAGGCTGGTTATACAACATTTATATTCTTTATTGGATTTATTCTTTCTTTGTGAGTTTTCATTATGCCTGTGTTGGTAGTGTTAATAAATGTTGATTTGTATTGAACCATATATATTGATAAATGTCGATTGGTAGACATGAACAAAACCTCCTAGATTTTTTATCTTCCAAGTTAATCAGAGAAAAATATTGTTTTGAATTGAACCATGATTATCTTGTCATGACCTGGTCATGTCTAAGTTAGAAATGTTCTTTTTTGGAATAGAATCAGGCCTGGAGTTAAGGAGGAAAGGGTTGAACAAAGCTAGATTGTGTTTGATTTGGAGTAGTGCTGGATTCGAAGTTATGAAATTAATTTTGGGGACTCTTTAAGTCATAATAACTTTAAGTGAAACTTTGTAGTTTTAATTTACTCCATACTAGGAAATTCAGAAATTATGAGAATTTGTTGATGTTGTTTTATGGTATAAGTTATCGTTTTTCTGTCACGTATCTAGTATTATATTTGTGGCATTTGGGTTATGCAGGACTATATTAACCCTGGTCAATCTACCTTTTCTATTTTAGATTGTCCCAAAATAATAGTCTTCTTTCTATGATGTATCAAGTATAGTTTATTTAAGCTCACAACTTTTCATATTACCCTTAATGATTTTTTCAGGAAAGGTACCTTGTGGTATGGTAAAGAACTAAATGTGTACTTCCTCTGTTTCTTTATAGTTGCAACACTTCCCTAAAATAAAAATGTCACAATAGTTGCAACACACTATAAAAGGAAGGTTTTTATGGTGAAAATTGTACTAATACCTTTATTTAAAGCACATGGCCCACTTGATTATACTCCTAACAATCTCTTAACCCCATTTTAAGTGTATTATATCATGTGAGTTCCACTTTGTTTAAATTCCGTGATAAAATGTGTGTTGCAACTATAAAGAAATGGAGAAAGTATATTCTTACAAAAGTAGTATAATCATGGCATTTCTACCTAATTTCTTGATAGCGATCTTCAATCTATTGTGCCTTTTATTTAGGGATAGGGAGTATGATTTTGATATGTATTGAATAAGGATGAGTTTGGAAACCACCTTTTGCTTGTCACGAGAGTAAGCCTGCCTACATCTGGCCTTCCCTACCCTGCTACTTGCCTTGGTGTGATACTATTTAGGGGTATCAGCTAAAATTGATGATTTATTTAATCTGCATTTTTAATAAAGGACTTTTTTAAGTTATATCATAGTTTAAGGAAATGTTTAATGATGGGGAAAGGGGTAGACTATTGCATATGGCCATAGCTATTATACCTACTGGAGAGCTGATTCAGTGCAGTATTTTGCATATTGACATTGCTGTATATGCATTTGTATAATTTTAATGATGGTGATCAAGCCCTATCCTAGGGGTGTTTTGGCGCAAAGTTCTTTTCTTGTCACATGCTATTAATAGAATCACATAAATTTCGAGGTTCTGTATGCCATTTTCTATTGTCTTTTTTTTATTTTTTATTTTTTTATTTTTATTTTTTATTTATTTTTTTACATTTTTTCTTTTGTGAGGACATCCGGGTAATATACTTGCATGTTCATCAGCTTAATTTTATTCTGTTTAAAATAGTTTCCACCCATAATGCTTATACCCATTGACTGCTAAATTTTTGTACTCAAACTGTTGTGCTTGCAATTAGGACTTCAGATCAGATGCTAGAGGGAAATGGATCCTTTCGCAAAGGATAAGGAACTCCAGAAGGCTGACTGAATGTCGGAGAGATATAGACCGGTTAGATGCCCCTTTTCTTGCAATTTACGAGTCTCTAATACCAGCAGAGGAGGAGAAGGCCAAGCAAAAGCAGTTTTTGGCATTATTGGAGAAACTTGTGTGCAAGGAATGGCCTAATGCTAAGGTTTATATTTATGGATCTTGTGCCAACTCTTTTGGAGTCTCAAAAAGTGACATTGATGTCTGCCTTGCCATTGATGATCTGTACATCAATAAGGTTGATATGTTGTTGAAATTGGCTGAGATTTTAAAGTCTGATAATCTCCAAGATGTGCAGGTAAGTCTTATTAAAGTTAGCAATCAATTATTTTGCACTGTATTTGTACTAGTATTCAAAATTTTTAATTAGACGTGGTCTATACTAGGTGATGTTTGTTCTCATAAATTGTGGAATCTTCTTTTCAGTTTGGATGTATCCAAATGATTTAATTTTTTTCTATTCTCATAATGGAATGAAAGCAATTTGATTTTGTATTAATAGATAAAATTTTCTTAAGTTATTGATCATTACAATACTGAAATATGATCTTGTATCAACTCTCTTGTGCTCTTTGCCATTACTGTTTAGAATTCACTTTTTACCACTACATCTGTGATGATTTTATTGAACACATAAACTATATATAGTGAAGGACTTCAAAAGACAGTTTTGTTCGTTTAAAACTTAACTTTGGTGTTTTCTTTCAGATAAAATTTGAAAAGTGCTAAAAATGAATTTGACAAGCATGAACAACTGTTTTATGTGTTTCTGGTTAGTAATACCAATATAGTGTCACCCCATGAACTTAAGGCGGGTTAAATCACTTAGAGCAA